AAAAGACTGTCAATATGGGCCCCATCTCTCTTCTTCCTATCTTTGCCTTTCTTTCCTCCTTCCCCAAAGGAAAAAACAAAACAAAATAAAACAATTTCCATCAACAGAATTTTTATCATTCAAGTTTTAACATGATGATTTTGATAAAATATTTTTTTCCAAGTTAAACAGATCCTGCAATTCAACAGCAATGATGTGGAGAAGGCTGTGCATGCTCAGTTCCATACTAAGCAAACATCTGCCAAACACGAAATAGCAGCACAGTGTGTAAGCTATAGAAAACATTTAATGTCCTTCTTCATCAGCTTTGCTCAAGTTTTTCATTTCTTTATTGCTTAGTCTACTAGAAAAAGAGCCAAAGATGCAGTTATTTTTCCTTCACACTATTGTTCAGAGAAGAAATACTGTTGATCCCTTTGCTGTTGCCTAGGACTTTTTGTCTTCATGGTAGCTCATAGTTAAATATATCACTAACCTTAGACAATATTCTGAGATTCCCCTAGTGTATGGAAGAAATCAAGACCTACCTTTAATAACTATCATGGCCTACCACCTGTTGTTGCCGCTTCAATTATATTTAGCGTGATTGAAATGAGAACCCACAGAGCATTTTCAGTGAGCAACCCTCTGCAGATGCGAAATACTTCATTTCTATCCCTAACAGATATACAGCTGTTGAAAAGCTACTCACTTGTGTAAGATGCACCCTCTTCACATATACTGAAGTAAGTAAAGTACATACGCTTACTATTGCTCATGCAAATAAAGGAAATCTATTTTTTTCATTTCCATTTTGCAGAGCAGGGATTAAACAGAAAAATGAAAGATTTGTTCATGTTGCTTAAATAAGTTTTTTTATCTTGCCTTGATATTAATACAGTTTTTAAGGTTATCACGAAAGAAAGCCAAATTAAAGGGCTTTTCTGTTTGCTTTTTGTTATGTGTTTTCTACAGTTATGATAAGAGTTAGCAATCTCCTTCAGCATCCACAGATTCAAATGATAAAGGCCAGGGATTAAGCACAGCCGATTAACAGTCTGTGTCCTCTTCAATCTAGCATTTCCACTGTAGATAAACCCATATTCAGACTGAAGTTATAATAAACAGACTGTCCTCAATATCATTTCCCTAGATGACCTCCTCAAAACTGTCATTCAAGTATTCTTGCGGAAAATTACAGTAAAAGGAAAATCAGACATTACAACACATATCCACATAAATATGATATTGTTTATTCAGAAGATGAAGCCAATATTTAGAAAGCAATGTGGATAAAATGATAATTTTACTATAAACATTTTATTTGTTTCAGTTCTGAGTAATTTCTTATGATTATAGATTTGACATAGTAAATAAAAGCAATTTGCTAAACGTTACCTTTCTTTAATGCTTATACTAATGATTATCTTTCAAATTACTACCTTATTATTTATACTTCTTATGACAAAATAAATACATAGCATTGGCTTATAATGTTAGTAATTCTTTTGCCTCCAAAGACAAAGGCAAACACATATAAAAATTCTCCACTTACTGTAGATTCTCTGAAATAGAAATGTTACTCTAAGGGATGTGGTAGTACAAGCCATTCACTGAGTGAACAACAACAACAAAAAAAAAAACAGGGAGACACCCTTGCAGGAATATTCTGTTAGGTATCTGTTTTGATTTATATCATAAATAATATTTTCACCTAAAAAAGAAAAAATTCCTAACAATAGAGAGAGTAGAGTAGGCTTGTAGGAACATTTTAACATGCAAAATTCTGAAAGGCTTTTTTGGCCTCTACTATCAAAAATTTGAATCTGGAATCTCACAGGTTAAAAATAAAACAAAAAAAAAATTGAGGCTATGTTTAAACTAGACAGAAAATGTGTAGTAACAGGCCATTCTAATTTCTTTACTTAGATGTTTCAACTATTTTAAGGAACTATAGAATTTTGTGTCATTTGATTTCAGTGCCCTTCTTTAAATTGAAGCAGTAACATTTCGAACTGTGTTATTGCCAATAAGTAATCTTATCTAACCAGTTAATGGGCCTGGATTCTATTCTTATTTCCATTAGTTTATACTGGCAGAATTCCAGTGAAGTAAATCTGAAATCAGATGAATGTGTGTGTGCATATATTCTTCAAATCTTCATTCAAAGCACATGGTCAAAATTTTGTTCCTTTTGACTAAACTACACAAGTGATAAGAGATAGGTCATACTATACAGAGCCAAATAGGAGAAAAAAAAAAAAAAAAAGAGAGAGAGAGCTGCATTTTGATTAGATGTTCCCTACCTAGACCTGGTTTGAAGTAAGCACTACATGTGATCACAGTTGATTCATTAGAGTTATTCAGAAATTCTTTTCACTGGAGGTTAAAAAAAAAAAGACAACATAAAATGATTCAGATTAAGTCTCATAGTCAGAGCATTAATTAGGTTTGGATGCTTCCATCCACCTTTTCATACAGACACAAAACAGTTTCAGAGCCCTTTTAAAGAAATCTGTACTTGAGAAAGAATTGAAAATGTGATTTTAACTCAAAGTCACTCACTTTGAGACCCTGCTTCAAAAACTAATTTTATGATCTGTCTCCATAACAACGTAGCTTATTTCTGCCAGCTAAGACCCATATAATGAAGCATAATGTGTTTAATCAGATTGTATGGACTACAATTTAAGGCAATTTATGTTTAGTTCGATTTGGAGACGCACTAATTTAGATGATGTGATTTGTAGGTCAGTCTCTTTAATCATGTTTATGAGCAAAAGGTTGCATATTTTCTCACCAAAGAAATATACTGAGTTATATTTAACTAGTGATAAAATACATAGTACACAATTAAAACTTCCTGTATTGCATACCTTTATTTTTAAATTTCTCATTCTCTATCACAGCCTGCTAAGAATGCCTGTCCTATAGCACAGGATCAATCTTGCCTTCAATCATTTCAGTCTTGCCTTGTCATCACTGACACCAAATTGCCTTTGTCCCTATTCAGCTATATACTCTTGTATACGTGGGCTTATTTTTTGAAGGCTATATATATAAAAGAAAATGTACTCCTTTTGCATGCTAATTTGCATTAAAAAAAAAAAAAGCTTTCTTATACCACACTAAAACTGACATATAAAAACTGGGAAGAGGAGAAAGATACATGTTTTACAGAGTTAAGTAGACACAAAAGTCTACAAGATGTACAATCAAACCTAACAGACCTTTTTGTTTATAAGTTAAAAGGAAATACCATTAGCTATTACATGCAAGACAAGCAATTTTGTAGGCTGTTAGTCATTGGGCACATAGCATTTTATTATCATATATTTGATATTAAATAATATTTTTTCTATATATTTATATATATATTTCTCCATTTCTGATTTCCTGTCCTCCTTAATGGAACAAACTTCCTGTTACTGGACAGAAGATATTTATGAATTTGTTTAAAATGGCATTGGTTAGCAGAGTTGGGATTTTTCCAGTGCTAACAAATAAGATCTAAAGTCAAAATGTTTTCTTAGGACAAACTTGCCCTAATGACTAATTAAAAGCTGCAAGATCAAACCCTAAATGTAAATAACTGTGGGGGAAAATTATCCAAGTTAATATCTTAGGAGTGACATGCCGGGCAGTAAGACTGGAAGAGGGAAAGAACTGAGTGGAAAGATTTACTCCTTCATGTATGTGCACATACACACACACACATGCACACACACACGCACATACACATACAGAGCTTTTCCTTCAAAATACTTTTCTTTTAAGCAGGTTGGTAGTAATTATGTTTCCAGAGCTCCCCATATTCCCAGATCTTACCCTTTTATTTTTAGCTTTCAGGTTTTTGCTTTGGCTGATGAGAACAGGAAAAGAAAGTGGCATGTTTATTGCTGTCAAATGGCTTGGAAATTCTGAGTAAAGAAGCCAGTCAAGGCAAAAGGATTATAATAATAATCAAAGAACAAAAATTTGCATATTTAGGGTATGGTTACTGAGAAATAACAATGCCATGGTTATGCAAATGAAGCCCTCTGCTAAAATGAAGGGATTTGCATATCTAGGAAAAATCTGTCATGTTATGCATCAGTAACTACATTCTAAGTGGCTGAAACAACTGGCTTTTAGCAGAATATTAAATATAATTGTCACTAGGATTTCTTATTTCCCTGTGATAGAGAATGAACTTTAATCATTTGGTGCCTGATGAAAACAGGTCTTGTTTTCAGTGGGAAGCAATATCACTCAGAACCTCAAAAGATACATTTAATATGATATAAAACTAGAATCTTTAAGATTAAAGATGATCATGAAAACATTCAGAAAGAACTGCATGTTACCAATTGTACTCGTCCTTGTTGTCTATAGAAAGTAGTCCTCTTGAGAGAAGATTGCAGAAAATAAATGCAAGTTTAAGTCCAGTTGTTTATTTAACAACTCTGCATAATATAATCATGTTCACTTCACTTTACATTTAGTAAACGAAGGATAAAAAGTTGAACTAAAACACTTTATTAGTAAAAAATGCAGACTGAACTTCTGTAACAATTTTATTTTATCTATTAAAATCAAACCACTTAAAGGTTGGTTCAAAGGTATTAAAATTAAATTAAAAAGAAAAAAAATGTAGATAAACTCTCCTTTAAAATGAGTTATGTTGCAGTATTTGTGCCATTCATACAAAGGAAAATAAAATGTTACTTCTGCTTAATGTTTAGTTCCTCCTTCCTCTTTTGCAAGTGATGCTCCACCATAGCTCAAATATAAACTTAAGGCTGGCTTACACACCCTGGCCACTACCTGCAAATAAAATTTAAGTCCAGTGATTCACAGATATGTGAAAGAGAATCCATCCAAGCATGTTCGATCTGTATAGTATTACTTATAATGAGTGTAAAGAGATAAAACACACAGATAAAACACAGAGGAAACTGATCAAGCTGCTACAGAAACCAGCCTACCCACCCTTTGCAGAACTGGTGAGTGACCTGGAGAGGGGCTGTTAGTGTACTTACCATCCTCTGTGGGCACGTAGATATTCAGATACAGGCAGTCTTCATTTTGATCTTGAACATATGTCACCACAGTATCCAAATTGGCTGTAAACCAGACCGGCAGCATGTCGTTGAGCAGTGACCTCTCATCCAGGTACTGAGGGCAGACGGCTGCAAACTGTGTGGCATTACGGACACCCGTCCAAGAAGATGGTGGCTCCGGGGGCTGAAATCTCCTTTCTCCAGTTGGAGGGGAGGCATAAGGAACACCCAGATATTGCTCCACTGGACCAAGGATCTCATTGGGCAAAGGTGTTCTTAAACCACGTATTTTGCCATAATTCGTGGTAACAACTGGGTATTGTGCTTGGCCATCGATGAGAGTAAATCTTATAGCCAGTGCAGTTATCCACAGGAGGAAGTTAGAATTCAACATGACACAGACTGGAGTGAAGATCAAAGGCAGCCATAGAAGTCCCATTGGTTTCGACATTATTTAAACCAACATCAGCAGGGCTCTCTTTCCCACAGCCAGGAGAAAATTAATCAGTTAAGGAAAAAAAGTCAAAAGGAGATGAAGCAAGGGAAAATGTAACTTTGTTCAGGTAGTGAAAAACCAAAAGGTGATGATGAGTGGCAGGTGTCTCAGTTGACTGACTGTAGACAAATTCCAATGTCAGAAGAAACAAGGAGGTGTTTGCCCCTGAGGCCCATCCCAGACTTCAGTGCTGGCTTAATCCTGACAACACACAACACTTCCCAACAAGTAGAGAGGGAAGAGATCCACAATTACTCCACTTCCCTGGCAAAATGGCTCCTTCCAGTGAATTGCAGCCCACTAGTCAGCCTGTGGCCAAGAGAAGAGAGACAACTAAAATCAACAGACACATTCATACTGGCATAAATCTAAATATATATATATTTTAATCTATACATTAATTGCACTCCAAGGACCACAAATGTTTTATGAATTTTAGCCACCATGGTTAGTTAAGATTTTCTCAAGGCAAATAAGTTAGGAAAGCTGAAAACTAAAGCCATAAACTTGTCCCGTCTTATACCACAAATCAAACATTCTGGCCCCCATATGCTTTCAAAGCAAATCCCAGTCCCAGCATTATGGCTTTCAGGAAGGGCGCCTCACATGTACGGGCTAGCTCCAGGCTATTTTCTGCCCTAAGCAAGTAGCATCTCTGTCTTAAGCATATTTGCACTCACATAGCAGTCATTCAATATTTTGCTGCACTGGATAATCTACTACATTAGTTCAAAGTGTGAGAATAGAATTGGTCAAAATCAGGTACAAAGTTACTGGTTTTCATGTCTATTTTACTTGTCCTATATCTGAGAAAAAGGAACAATGGAAACTGAGAAAGAAAATCTGTGATACAATCTCTGAGAAATCAGATCCTGACCTACATATTGTAACAATGTTGCATTACCTTCTTGTATGCTCTTAATTTTCATTTTTTGACAGAAGGTAATTTAAACTATAATTCTGTTAATCTTTAATGGCATATAAGTAACTCATATACATATGTTAACCGTTATAAATAGTATATATAACAATACAACACTTGTTAATGTTGCATTCTTTTGCTTGCTCAAATAAACTGAGGATTTCTTTTTTACCCATTTTTCCACTTAAAATCACAGATAACAATTATACAGCTAAAAAATTCTTGCTATAAAAAACTAATACTGACCCTTTACCTTTGATAGGATGATCACATAATTTATATATAAAACACATATATGCCGACTACTAGGTTCTATTTTCAGTCAGGACTCTGTCTTATGAAGTTATATAATCAGGTTTCAAGAGTAGAAAAAAGAAGGTAAGTAGCTATTGACAGTGATTTCAATTCAAAAAAAAAAAAAAAAGGAGAGAGCTATGTTGATTGTTTTATGCAAAGAAAGACATTCAAAATAAAAATACTTCACTCTTTCAATACCTCCGGAATTCTTCTAATGATTTTGTTTCAGTACTTGCACTACGAACTTTGTGAAATATCTGAACACAAGAGACCAGATAAATTCCAGACACACATCATCTAGAGATTTACGGATTTCTCAGTCAAAATTCTTGTTAGCTCTTCTACTGGTGGACAATAGGCCTCAGTGCTTGCCCCACAGGACTTGTCACCTAGGCATGGTATCTGAAGAGAGAACCAGTAACAGCCCTAAGGGCCAGGGCTCTGAAGGCACTGAAAAGCCTTACCTGCCCTGACCAGGCTCATGCAGGGCCTTCACCGACACCCCTGGCCGTGGGCCCAGAGGGTCCCCAGGGCCCTCAGTTGCTGCTCGAGCTGTGCTGTGGGGAGCTTCATGCCCAGGCCCATGCCCAGCCCCTGACTCCACTGCCCTGACATGCTCATGGGGCTTCTGGATTGACCTCAGACCTGACTCCTCACCTTGCCCAGTTGGACAATGGCCGAGAGGGGGAAAGATCCCACTCCTAGCCCTGTCCTGGCCCTGATTGGGTGAGGTGGGACAGCGCTTGTCAGAAAGGGCACTGCCCTGTGCAGTGGGTCCTGGCTCGTCCTCCCCAGCAGGGCAGTCCTGCTCCTGCTGATACCTGACACTAGCTGTGGCCAGCTGCTACCTGTTACTAGAAACTCCTCCTCAAGTACTGTCTTGCTTTTCGATTTCTGCTGCTGTCCGTAAGGACAGAAAGCAGCAGTGGGCAACTGAGTTTGGGTACTGTTTCCTCATTCTCTCTCCATCCTGACTTTGGAACGCTTTTCTGGCCATGCCGCACAAAGTGGCCAAACGAAGCTTTATTCTGTGCTCAGGGAGCAGCAACAGGTCCTACTCCCCCGAGACCCATACTGCAGGAGGCTGTAAGACCACTATAAGAAAAAGAAATGTAGAATAAACTAATGAGAAAATTGCCAAGGTGGAAGGAAAGACAAGTGATCCAGATGATATGGACAGAGAGAAGATTAGGCAGGGAAAACAATCAACAAATAGGAAAAAAAAAAAGGAGGAAATTAAAAAAAAAAAGAAAATAAGAATGACAAATAAACAAGAATTAAAGCATTACCAGCATGGAAAGAAGTAAAAATGACAACATGAAGGGAAGCGGAAGTCTTCGGTTAATATATATACTAAAGATAACATACAGCTGTAGAAGATTTGACTTAATAAACAAAGTTCATCCGTATTAATTCAAGGGTGTTTGTGGAGTGTCTGTTGTTGTATGGCATTATTTCAAACAGGGGGTGAAAGCAGGACAGGAAAGGTGAAATTTTTCACGATTCATTATTGTCCTGGGATTAAATTCACTATCTGATCTCTTATCTAGGGAATCATATCACGAAAAGTTGGTTCTGTGGGTACAAAATCCACTAATACAGCATATTTTATTTTTCCGTGTACCTTAACAGCAGCACACATGAAGCTTGCGTTTCTCATTCATGTAAATATAGACACATAGATTTTATTAAAGTCCTCTTGTACACATAAAGAAACACACTTTTGGCTAGTACACTAAATATAGCTATCTATCTTAGCCCCGCAGTCTGACCTGTGATAGACCTGCAGCCTTTGACAGCCAGCACTAAAGTGTAAATGAACAGCAGCAATAAGTGCATTAACAGAGGCAAGGTATATACCATAAAAAAAGCAATTCTAAGATTATAAATATATGAATTAAGACCTTTATTTATTGTAATATGTTCTAGTTATTAACCATTGTTGTCGTTGTTATCCAATTAAGTGGCAGAAGAAGCAATCAAGGTTTTTAACAATTTCTTATTACACAGTTATATTCAAAAAGTTAAGTAATAAAGCACATATCGATATTTTGTTATACGTCTAAGGAAGAAGTGGTCTCTCATAGATTGTATTAGCCAGAAAATATCCCACAACTTTCCGTTTGTTGAACTATTACTAGATAAATTACTGTTTTAATCAAGTTAGTTTCACACATGGAACATATACACACTTATACACACAGAAAGATACATAGAACAGTTTTCAGTAAGAGTATCAAAAGATCAAGAAATAGATTATATATAGATAACTTGCTATCTATAAATTCATGAAACAGCAGATGTACATCTTTAAAAAGAATGGAAATAAAGAATACATAGACTAAATAGAGAATCACAAATTGCAATTAGAGATTAATCTTCAATATGAAACAGCATGTATATTACAAATGTTTTAGACAGATACTAAAACAATTTTTTTTGTTGGATGCACATCTATATGCATCCAGTCAACTATTTTATATACCTTTACATACTGAGTCTAGAAGAAAAAAGGTACTTGTCTTGTTGCTATTATTTATTATCAATCAGCGGGAGTTGCCTCTACCAACCTAGGTGCTATTTGAAATAATGAACAGTGGAACGCAGCAAAAGCACATTTCCCTTTACCACATTTTGACCACAAGGTAACTGTTTACAAATGCATAATCTTTTCTGCCTTGTTAATTGCCATGTGAAAGAAAACTGCAGGCTATTTCTAGACCCACCTCTGGACTGGAAAAAAGTGTGACTGAGTAACAGAAAGTTAGGCATGTTGGACACATGTTTTGGATGAATTGATGAGTTGCCGTATGAGATAGTTCTGCTCTCCACTGACTTCAGGGAGAATTTCCCAATGTCTAGGTTAGGTAAGACAGCCTTTAGAGAGTGAAATTAAGGAAAGTAAATCCTACTTTTTCTCTTTTTCTTCTTTTTTTTTTTTTTTTACTTCTTGAAATGTTAGAAAAAATGTGCACAAATGGGCTTGTAAATACAATAACTAGCTGGAAGCATCACTCACTGAAACAACCAAAAATATGTTCAATTTAAAATGACAGCTTTTAGCAACTTAACACATGAAAAGAAGTCAAAGAAGGCCTGAAATCATACACTTTCATACATGCATTTTTTTTGTTGGTACAGTAGTGTAATTTGAGGCTAACGAAACATTTATGGCCTTTGAAGTAAATGTAGATTGAAGTTAACACTGATGTGCATCTACTAAAAACATCATTTATACTTGATTATGAATGTAAGCCCCAAGCCACAGTTTGAGATGCTTGAACAGTGTATGAATCAGGCCTTCAGGGCAAACCTGATGTTTACTAGGATCTACAGTTAGCACTTACTGATTTTTCCACCTTGAGCAGCTAAGTTTGTCGGTAGCTCTACACTAATATTGTACCTGCTGGGGAAATCTGAGACAAAGCTTACAATGTCTTCTTTGCTGCACGGTCTGATAGCACACTCTAAAGTGATTTCAAGTTTTTGTGACCTACTTGCGGGGATCATGGACAGTGACAAGGAAATCAAATACAAATATAAATGATATGAACCCAGGAGAGAGAAGACTACACAGATCTCCTGGGATTTCGCTGGTTTTATCTAAACTGACTAGTACACTACTGCACATCTCAACTTTCAGTCTCTTATCATCTCTCTGTCTCTCCCTTCTGTCCAAATCCCCTGGGGCAAGTTTTTTGATGGTCTCATCCCAATACAGGGTCAGGGGATGGGCAGGATATATTCCCACGTTCTGCTGCTTAGATATATGCTCTGAGAGCACACAGTTGTCTTAATTAGCTGAACCTTAATCACTAGAACAAAAATTGTAAATAATATAAACATTATAATTTCAGATTCTCCCTATAGTGATATTTTGTTTAATATTTAGTGCACTTTACAGAATATTGGGATGTCACAAATATTTCATTTACCAAAAACATGAAATGTGGTTTTTCTTCTTTCCCTTCTCTCCCCTCCTTGAAAGATGTCAGCTGGGAGGTTCTAAAATAAGAGTTTTTTTCCTCTTTTAATAAAAGTAATGAAAAATCCTGTTTTAACTATAAACACCATTCTAGAATAAATGAAT